TAAATGCAACAATAACTTAACAAACGACGAACAATGACCGCAACTAGAACATAGAAGGACATTTAGAACACGTGAAGTGGGAAAAGTTTTAATGTGGGCTTTATTTTATTCTGCGCTTTGTCTCCGCGAGAAGTAGTCTGGTAATATTATTACGGAAGGACGACGATGGATCGTAGTGGTAGAGCGGTTAGGAATTGAGATGGAAGTCGCGTTGCGTGTCGTTGGTTGCGCTTTTATTTCAGCGAGAAGTCGGTGAAAGGCGGTTGTTAACATTTCCCCAACTTCCCCGTGAATAGATGCAGCCGCGCATTGTTCCGCCCGATGCGCCGCGCCGCGCCGCCGAAAATTGAAGCACGTTTCGGCTGCAGCGCTACGTGATGCCCACGGACTGCCGCTTTCTCGTCAGAATACACGGCGCGCACAGCGCGAAATAAGAGGTATACCGGGGCACAAATCAACCGAATACAAACGTATTCGCGCGTCTCGCGCGAACACTCGGTCGCTCCTTCCAAACGAACTTTTTCGTTCAAACCTACGTCGCGAGCGTGAATCTAATAAACTGTTGCGAAATGGCCAGGTCTGGGGACCCATACTTTATATCTGCCATATGCCATCACGTCTCGCGGATTTTTTACGCGGCAACATGCTGCATACAGAATAACGTTCTTTCTCTGTCGCTTTGTTGTCCCTTTTCTTTCTTCGCACCGGCACCTAATAATATATATGTGAAAGTTCAAGGTTTGACGTAGTTATGTATGGTGATTGCAGTAACTGGACTACTGGGTTATAAATCTTTTCCAAAACAAATAAGTTAAAGTTAAGAAGAAAAAGATGGTAGAATAAAATCTTTTCACTGATTTGTCATCTATTAGTTTGTTTTTTTTTTAACGATACGTTGATGCGCTTATAAGACGTAATTGCACTCTTTTTTTAGTTTCATTTTTGTTATATAGTTTTTGTACGATGACATGTAAATATTCTGAAGATTTTATTTTGGAAAATAATTTTAGAGAATGAATTATATACAAGCTGCTTATTCTAATGTTAGATTACTATTACATATTAATGATCAATATGATGTTGTTATAAAAAATTGGAAAATAATTAGAATGTTACGATGGTACATTTGGGCAATCTTATGTAATGATGTAATGTCGACATAATATATGTAATCAGAGTGCCTGATATTAATTTTCTGATTATTTTTCTAATTATATTATACATAGAATAATGAGAAGAATCAATTTATTTCATTAAAAAATGTAATTGCATCTTCGAAGTATATCGGTGTAGTGTTGAAAGAAATATAACGTAAATTACACTATGAACATTGAAAGATATTCCTCTTACTTCTTTCTATATTGACTTATTGTTAGAAAAGAACGTTAGAATTACTTTGTATAGCGAATAATGGGTCACCAAAAAGCTTTTTTTAATAGGTTTTTAATTTACAGTTGATTATGGTAACAATATAAAAGGTTTTTGTTACAAATTATACAGAATATATTTTGAAAAGAATTAATATCCACAATCTCTTTTGTCTCTTCTTTTTATTTGACGGGAATTGTTGAATTCTCAGAACACGGAGATCATGCGACTATATAATATTACGTACGTGTGCACGAACTGAATGGTTTTGTATTATATTTTACACGATTCGATGTCTTTCACTTTCTCTGAATATAGTGACGTAAAACTTTTTATATTGCAGTGTGCAGACTTTAGCTTTGAGGTTTTTTATGGCACGCAAGAAAATTGCTGGCGATCATATATATATATATATATATATATATATATATATATATACATACACAGTCTTGCGTTATTGCCATTTGAATGCCAGTCATGAGTTTTGTTGATTTGTGTGTATTATTGCTTATAATGTTGCACCACCACGAAATTGGAAAAACGTATTTCGGTAGCCACGCGCGGTACACGAACGATTAATTAGGAACGCTGTCGATTTCGATTCGTGTATCTATTTACTCTGGCCGTACATTTCAGTTGCCGCGCGTAATTAGGCCAGTTGAAAACAAATTCCCGCTCGATTAAGCGCGGTCGTTAATGATGTACTTATAGTCATTAGCAAAACAAATTGATTATTTACTGCAATACAGTTCCGAAAATCGTTATTTTTAATTTAAATTTGCAGGCTGATAATGATGAGAAATCTCAAAAAAGGAAATTTGAAATTCGAAAACATTCTAACATAATTGCAAAATAAAACATTGTGTTTTAACGTATAAGAAAATTTATTTAAACATATTGACATTAACTTTAATCGTTGATAACGTCTTTTGTCATAATAAAGACTTCATTTTTGAAAGAGTATTGGTGATGTTGAAATCGACGAAGAGAGTTGAGAGGCTTTATAAACAGTGTTCGGGTCACTTAATCTTCCTTAGTTAGCGATCGATGGCTTCATAATCCTCCTCTTAACGTGAAGTTTTTTTGGGATTTGATATGTCAGAGATGACTAGACGATTTATTGTACAGACGTAATAGAAAGTTGATCAAGATCGAAAAGAAAAGTAGACGGATGCGTTTCGAGGCATTCAGGTTGATATCAGCGGATTTTATTTTAAAAAAAATGGAGTAAGCTCTTAGACAGAAAGACCAAATAAGGATGATAATAGACTGTATGTACTTTATGATATCAAAAGCAGCAACTCTCCGTGTTTCTCGTTTATCGTCTCAGATTTATTGAATCTCCTTTATGAACCAAAATGTTTGAAGGGAAAAGATATTCCCTGCCTACCGAGAGTTCTACTGAGGTTCCGTGATTAATGAACAAACTGCAGTGAAATTCTGTTACACTGAATACACACAAGTGAAATTTTCGCTATAATGAAGTTTGAATCCTCGTTCAATGTTTACACAATGTATAGGTAATTCGATTTAACGTGAGTAACTTTAATATAACACACTTTTGATTTTAGTGATCTCGCAGAGTTTGCGATTCCATATTATGAAGAAACTCATTTGTCAAATAAAAAATGGTTTCAAATTCAAAAATTGTGTGTGTGCATGTGTGTGTGTTTTGTGTGTGTTAAATATATGTGGATTTTTTTATACAATACACACTGCTGTTAGATATCATAGGAACAATGATAACTCAATCCATTAAATTAAAATAACATTTTATTTTTAACTTCCATATGTATCAAAATGTAAATTAATCCATTTCTGTGGTTAGTTTCGAAGCAAACAATATTTATATCAATGTATGCATTTAGTAAATAAACTAAATTTTGCATTCAAATTTAATATTCTTGAGTTAAATTGTTTAACTCAATTGTTTTAATTAAATTAATGACATATTAAATAGAAACAGTGACGATCTGATGACCTATAAAAATGATTGAAAATATTTCAAATTGTAATTTTATAATGTAAATTTAACAATATATGAATTATATATTATAATGAACTAACTAGATTTTGTTTAGCGCATAAACTCTACTTTTATTTTGCAAAGAAGAATAAAATATATTAGTAATACGTTCAACGTCTTAATGGTCGCTTATTGTTTGCGTTATTCTTCAATCTTGCACAGATGGCTTTGCAAACTTCCATCATTGCTACTGCATTAATTTTTTCCTGCATGAGCTAGTTTGACGTCTTCGTCAGTAATGATTTTCTCGATACCATATGGTAACAATACATTGCATTCGAGGGGTAAATGTGGACAACCATCCCGTAAGATATTCCAATATAATGTTGATGGACCCATCATTTATCATCGTTCAATCGATCACTCTTCTTCGATATGATTTTCATAATTTCTCTTGAATATTCTTTGTATCATATCACGCGAACAAAATTTCAAATGACATTAAAGTTCCAAGTAGGTATTCATTTTATAAGGTTCTAAATGCATTTTATTTTTTATAATAACAGTTTGCTTTGTCACCGCGTTGCCACCAGCATCCAGGTTAATCTTGGAATTTTGTCACGAAGTATTCGAAGGTAATTTTACCATCTTGACTTCTTCCTCGTCTTACCTCTTAGAACTATCAAAAGTTACTCGATGTCAAGTGGAAGCTTCGGGGGAGCTTTCTTCCCTATCTCTTCACTTCCGAGTTTCGCGAAGGGCGATATCGCGTCGCCAGATAAGGATGGTAAGAAGACAGGGAAACGGAAGAACGAAAAGTAGTGAAACAAGAAGTAAAACGGGGAAGAATGGTACGTAGAATTTCAGATGAAGTTAGATGAATCCGTGTGCGCGCGCGCGCGACTGCGATCGTAAGTTATTACGAAATAGTTTGTGAATTATGGTTGGACAGTAACAACTACATGTGATTTGAAATTTTACCATGTACAACGATACATAAATAATTCTGCGCGATAGTTACGTCAGCTCGTCAGCATAGTTTTATAAAGAAATACGTATGATAATGCTTGAAAACACTGACGTTGTTTCAAGTTTTACTTATAATTATACATATTCTTGTAGAAATTTTTGACATAAATATATATTTGCCGTTTGGATGCTTTTATATGCAAGAATAAGCGCAATGAAAAGACGGAGCGTGCATGGAGTTGCACTACTGACCGACTAACCCAGATATTTATCTGCATTATGAAAGAAAAATATCAAAATCTATTTTTAAATCATCCATAAGGATTCTAATTAACTAGAATAAACCTCATAAAGAAAAAATAGCAGGAATTCTTTACGCTACAGGTGTTACATGGAATATTAAATGGAATATCTAATAAATTCATTTTTATTGTGTATAATACTAATTAATAATATTATTCTCTTTCAGTTTTATAATTTAGTAAGTGATAATTTATTAAGTATTATTTATATTACATTATTAAAATGCGTAAGAATTTTAAATGACTGTATTGTAGCTCTTTAATTTCAAAATACTAAATATTATGGAAAATGTTTTGCAATGTATTATGATACATCACATATTGTAATGTGTGTCAGATATTATTTTCTTCACAATATGTGTATATATATATATATATATATATAATGAACAGTTTCCATAATGGAAATCTACGTGACTTTTGTTGAATTAATTATTTTAAATGTGGAAAAAAGGATAGAAATTGTGAAAGGAAGTGTGAGAAAGCGTTAACATTAGTAAGGAAAGGTATAACTGCGAGAAAGAAAGAGGGAATGGAAGAGAAAAGCCGACTATTAGATACTAGCTGCCGCAAAACTTAGAGAACTTATGAAAGTGGGATCGGGTTCGAGTGCTACAGTGAAACATGCTGGCACAGCACCTCGAGCTCCTCCTCTTCTGCTGCTCCACCCTTCGAGCCTCAACTCTCTATGTCTTTTGTTCTTTTTTCGCGGTACGGGAAGGAGAGAACAAACGGCCAAGTAGGATATACGAAACATATTAGAGTCTACGGCACGTCCGCGAATTGGCCGGCAAGTTTCTTGCTTTTTTTCCGTTTCTTCTTCAGCCCGGCGACATTAACCCGTATCCTTCGTTCTTCTCTTCGGAGACAAAGAGGGCGTAGGGCGGAATTGTCGCGCGAGCGAGGCGGGCGTGGCCAGGGCGCGTCGAGTCTCCTCGCGAAATTGAGCCATCGAAAAAGTTTAGAAGTCGTGCTTTGAATTCTGGATGTCCTTTCTCTTTTAGGTCCGGTCTTTCTTCGCGGCTGTCCATACGGTAGTAATTTACAGGACGCAACAAAGGGAGCAATCATTACTGTCTTCGGATTGTTCTTTTTTCCAGGCCGTTCTGTTTTTCCACAGTTTATTCTCCCTTTTGCCACGAAGGTGCGTTCCAGGACCGAAAGCTTATAATGAGACTCGAAGTTGGTGGGCGCGACCTGGAATATCTTGAATTGTAGTCGACGGTTCGCGATACCGAGAATTGGAACTATCCGCTATCGTAGTCCAGCAAAAGGCACGCGAGATGACAATCCTATTAGCGAGTAGGCAGACGGCAAAATAGCTTTCAAGATAATAAAACGTGCTTGGCGGGGATGTCTTTCGCGGCTGAGGACGCTTCCTAGACGTAACTGTTGCCGCCGTCTGAAAATGGAAATGAAACCATTTTATATTTATTCCTAAACACTTTCCTCTCTTAAATTAATATTAAAATCCACTGCTGGATGTAGACTTTGCATGATCTAATTAAATTACGATGATTTCACGACGTTAAATCTAAATTTAAAAATTACAAATTATATAATCTTTTATCAAACTTAAATGTCTCCGAATAAATATTATTTGAAAAAATCATTGCAAATTCTAAAGTGTTATAAAAAAATGCATATCATTTTTCGCGTAGAATCGCAATTTATAGATACTTATATTTATCAATAGATATAAAATAGATATTTCAAATGGACATATATATATATTATATATTGAATATCTTGATAAATAATATAAATTATGATTCTGGAGTGTATTTTTTGCATAATGTGCATTTTTGTTAATAATTCGATTTGAAATTTGCAATTATTTTGAAATAATATTTATTCAGACGTTTATATTTGACAAAAAAATGTATAATCTGTAATTTTTTAATTCTATTACGAATCATATGTGGCATACAAAAAGAAGAGACGTAAAATTGGTTGATAAATTAAATTCCATTGAAAAATGTTTATCATACAGCAATCAAGGTGCTTTTGACAATTATTATAATATAATTACGTGGATTTCGGTGTCCCTGTGGAAAATCGTTGAACACGAAAAGAATTCGCGATATATCAGTCGAGCGGTCACTATATATTCCCTCCCCCCCCCCCCCCCCCTCTCTCTCTCTCTCTCTCTCTCTCGGGAGGCCGTAATAAAATCTAAAAATATATATACCTTTCGAAATAAAATAAAATGGTAAACGTAGCGTGAAACGGCTTGTCCGTTATATAGCGTCGCTGTGCAACGGCAGCAGTAGTGCCGCAGCACGATGGAGCGGCCACGTCTCTCCCTCTCACCGTCCTTCGCGAAATACATTTTCCGTATTACTCTCGAACGTTCTCCTCCGTCGTTTCTCGTGGTACATGGCCGAACGTGTGCGCTTCCGTTCCGCTCCGCGTGTTCTCCGCATTGTCCTTTTGCGTTTTGCGCCGCCGAATCCTCTTCCGCTACTATTGAATTTTCATACGTTCGCGCGATTTATAACACCGGTGAGAAACCAACGCGATTCTTTGCCATTCATTCGGCGACTAAATTTTGGTACTGCGAAACTGAAAAAATAGAAAGTCGTATGATAGATGAACTATTTTACATGTACATTTTCTTTGGGATTAAAGCAAAATAGTTCGAAATGTGAAAGACGATGTTTAGTAATATATAATAAAACATGAGGAGTAAGTTCAAAGAATACTTTTGAAAAAGTATATTTTCAATCAACTCACTGTTATTCAGTTTAATATTTAAAAATCTTTGATAAAAGAACGATATTTATTTTGCATAATATTTGATCTTATTTAGATTATTTTGCCGTCGTAATTTTTTTCTAACATTATTCTGTGATCACCTTTACATTCGATATATACTCTGCGATATTTATTCTTGTTAGCTGCTCTCTGTTTTTGAACAGAGATGAAATCTCATTTGATAACATCTCTTCTTATATTTGCGCGCGTATAGGTCATCATCTCATGGTTTTATTTTCCTCCGCGGATTTTATCCATGTAACTTTTTTTTTTACTTTCAACCTTCCTTTTTCCTTCTACATCTTGACGTTTTTCTTTTCATTTCCGTTCATGAACGAACGCATTCTCTCGCGTAGATTCGAGCTCTTCGTTTTCTCTCATTCGCGCTTGTTTCCCGTACATATTCCGTATTCTCTATCTCTCTCTCTCTCTCTCTCTTTCCTCCCTCACATACTCCCTTTCCATTCGTTTTTCAATCTCTTTCTATTCCCTTTTTCATTCTACTTGACGCCACTTTTGCCCTCGTGCACCGCGCTTGGTGACTTCTCCTTTCTTTTTCCCTTACCTTCCTAGCCCCGTGCGGCAGAATCTTCGTTCTCTTTTATTTCCGTCGTCTTCATTTTTCCTTCCCGTTCGACGCTTACGCCGCTCTTTGTCCATTCCGCGTCGTTCGCGCCATGTCGCGTCGCTTTCTTTATTGTATTTGTTCCCCGGTGTCCTCCCTGTTCCCGTGTAGCGGCCGCGGCTCCCGATACCTCTCCAGGTTTTCCACGCACGTAAATGCGCGTTCTCTTATTTTTCTCAGCTCCCTTTTTCTCGCGTTCGATCCCACCATCGCGCGCGAACGCTCGCGCGATCCGCCGCTACGTGACATTTTCCGTTTTCCTTTTCGGTATGTACGCCTGGTATCCAATACGTGATCCGTTCTACCTTGTCTCGATATTGTTCTTTTCTACTTCGCAAAGTGCATTCTTTGGGCGTCTCCCGTTTTCGCACCGTTTTTCCTTTCTTATCGCGTTCCTTTCTACTCCGCGCGGCTTCTCCTCTCGTTTCTCCTCAAATTCCTGGCACTTCGTTACTTGGCCGATGGCAGATCCTTGAAAATACGATACGCTCGATTCCCTCCCATTACCCGCGTTAATTCGGGTACGCAACTAGAGAGTGGAGAACCACAAGATCGTTGGAGCCAGCAAACGGCTATGGCCGCTGCTCGTTGGAGCGCGAATCCCCAGTCAAACAATATTCAACTAAATTTCTGTAAATTCGCCGTTCTGGCCGAGATGGCTGGATTGTTACTATGGGAATTCGAGGTGTTACGTGATAGTCTTAACTGCGCCTGAAATCAAAGGACAGTTTCTATGGAAGTCCTTGCGGACTAAATACCTAACTTGCGCGCTGTTTCGCCTTTTAACATTGTGTATATCTACCTCCTATTTTATATACACGGTATATAAATACATAGTAGAAAATATTTTGTATTTAAACATTGTGTGAAAATCAATTCTTGTTACAATTTTTATCTTGTTGAATTTTTAACATATCATATTAATTTAACACAACACAATGTAATTGTGTTGTTTGAGTATTTTGTGTTAAATTGATCTTTAACATTTTTTACTGTTAAAATAATATCATTTATGATAGTAGTGAACAAATAATATAAAAATAATGTATTTTAAAACGTAAATTTCAAGATAAATGAATAATTACGTGTTAATTTAATATACATAAATGTCGATTTTTCGAAAAAAAATTCTTCCACAAATTGTTTACAAATTATATTACATTTTTGTGTTAATTTTGTACATAACATTCCTGTTACTTTCTAGATATTTATCTTATGTTAAATTAACATAAAATTTGAGTGGACTTTCGGGATATTTGTGAAATGTTGTGAAATTGTTTTTAATACAAATTTTCCAACTGTAGACAGATTTTATTCAATTCGATTTTTTTATGCGATTAAATATGATCATCCGAATTTTATTTCAACTATTTTTAGACTTAACAGTTGGATATTTGATCGTAGAAACGTTAACAGTATGTATTAACTTATACATTTCCTTCAATTTGTGGAAAAGACAAAAAAGAAGAAAAATGACGTTCAGAAACTTCACTCGTACGTTGCCGGAGATAAAATAAGAACAAGTACGGGGTAATCGACACGGATGAGGGCTGGGGTCGTAAATTATTGCGCCTGGATCGATTCGAGGATTTTCGAGCGAGAGGGACGCAAGGCTAAGGAAAAAAAAAAGATAAAATGGTGAAGATGGCGGAAACTGGAAAGTGAGGAGGAATCTTGGCCGCTAACGGACCGGGAAACAAGACTGCAGGCCCTAACTTTCGTTACTGCACGCCGCTGGGAATTTATTATTCCGCGTACGGAAGGGGCGGCTCTTGCGTAACCCACGTCCACTTTAATGCAATTACCGCCTCGTGCCGTTCCACGCCTAGAGGGGTTGGAAACACAGCGGGGAGAGAAGATCTACGAAGGATTCTTTGTGCACCTTCGTTTCTTTGTTCTTCTCGCAGGGATTTTTCCACGATGCTGCCAACGTCGCGCGAGCGCACTTTGACCTCACATCATCGTAGTTAGGTCGTGCGAGGAATCCGCGCCCTTTGTCGGCATGGTAATTAAATTTAAATAAGGGACTGATGAGAGAGAAAGTCGACTTGATGAAGAGAAGAAAAACGCAGAGTCGGAATAGCCGATGTGGATAAGCTGCAAAGGACGAAAAGATTGAAGCGGTGATGTGAGTGGACGGGAAAGAGATCTGAAAAATATCAGTGGCGATTACTCATCGTTTTTGTCTTTTTTACGAGAATCAAAGAGACATAGAAAGCAAAAGAGGATAAAATTTCTTAAGACTTCCGTCGTACATTTTCGACATTTTCGTTGATCTTACAATTGATTACTTTTTCCTACGTTTTGATGGCCGTTGACGAGTACCGTCGCATCGCTCGGAGTGCATCACAATTTAAATGAAGAGCACGTTTCAATGAAAATACTCGCAAGATGAAGGAAAACGGAATTACGAATGGTTCATTCGTAAAGACATCTCAAGGGAATTAGGACGCTGATGCGGAGTGACGGAAGGAAGAGATTATCCTCAGTCAACTTACCAGAATCCTGTTCCATTTAACGTAATTACTACTTGGCCGTGAGGTAAAGAATAGCGAGATGGAGACGCGACTTTTTTGCGTCCTGCGGAATCTCTTCATCTAGAATTTTGTTTGTTTCCTCTATTTGTACGTCGCTGTCGAATTGTAATACGGAGCCACTACGAGATTCGTGGAGTTAAGTAAATACCGAAGAAAGCCGAATTGAAGGGAGTCAAACTGCTTAAGATAGTGAAGCATGGCGGCGCCGAGCATGGCAGGAATGTTAGATGGAACAGTCAAGGTCTTTCGAACTTTTGTGTAAAGCGGAATTCTAATTGCGAAGGATCAGATAGATCGAGTTTAGTTTCGAGCACGTCCGCTTTAACGTGATTAGCTTCGCGCAGAAAAGTGGAAGTGAAAAGGGAAGGGCGAAAAAGTGAGTTTCGTAGCGCATTTTCGTCGCTGTTACTCTTCTTTGATCCGCCACGTTTGTTTCGCCACCTTGTTTCGCGTCCCTTTGTCGATTTCCGTCGAACGAGGGGATGTCGCATGTCTGACCGTCACGCTCGTGCGGTCAGACGGAAGTCCAAACACGATTTATAATGCGTGATCCTTTACGTACAGACGTTGTTAGTTTTTTTATGGACTCCTTTATAAATAATTATAGAAAGGAATACACGGTAAGATAAGAATAAAATGTTTTGAAACTTTCGTCTCAAGTTTTAATGTTTTTATATATTATAATTTGTATATTGTACTAATACGCGTGTAAAAGATTTAAATTGTTATTTTATGCGTAATTTAATTTTACAACGCAAACGGAACCCTATAATTTTATGATTAATTTTTTTTTATATCATTTACTATTGTTGTAATTTATACATGATCGACTTTAATTAAAACTTGATAAAAATTTCAAGATTTTTGCAACTAATTAAAAAAACTAGAAGAATCGATTCTATTTTCTTAATGTCGAACAGTTACTCAGTTTTACCACATCCGAAACGAATTCTTTACCAGTGTAAACTCAGTCCGAATCAACAGTAAGATTTACGTGATTACAAGGTGCTCAGATAATTGACGACTTAACCATTTCTTCGCCGAGTAACTTTGCCCTAAGTAAAGGACCGAACTCCGCCTTCTACTCGTCGTTCCTTCATCCGTAAATTTGTTTCACCACGTTGGCCAGTCTCCTCCCACCCCCTGCTTCTCTGGTCAAACTTGAGATCAGAAAGAAGGAAATGTTGCAAGGGGTCGGTCGCTCCGCCGACCAAGCAGGGAATTCAAATAAGAATCCGACGGAAAACGTGGGCGTTTTAAGGGAATAAGACGAGCTCCTGGAACGAGTTCACCATAGAGAAGGATCCGGAGATAGAAGCGGCGAAGAGAAATTGGTAGGGTGGTGCTGGATGATGAGAGCAAAAAATCGTCAGAGTCTACCGGCGACGACGATGCCGACGTCGTCGTCGCCGTCGCCGTCGCCACTGCTAGCTTGCCAGTGACTGCATTGCGCCGTCACGTCTCACGAGACTTTGGGGGTCCGTTCCAAGATGGTTCATTAGTTGTCGCAATGCAGGACCTCTCCTGCTTTTGCTTTCTCTTCTTCCCCCTTTCTTCCCTTCCATCATTCTCTCTCTCTCTCTCTCTCTTTCTCTCGGAATCTGTCTATCTTTTTTCTACTCTCCGTCGTTTTTTCTCCCTCTATC